GTGTACGTGATGGCGAGCTTGTGGGAGCCCGGAGACGCTACGAACACCTGAGACGCGGGGGGCTGAAGTCTCATTCTTCTACATTGGGGGCGACGAGGGAGACATCAACAGCAATGTGACGGTGACGAAGGTCTTTCTGTACAACCGCCCACTGAGTGTCGGTGAACTAAAAATGGTCAAGAAGAGCGACGCCAAAAAAGGTAACAGTGACGGCTCCATGCGTGGGGGCATCTCTCGGATGCTGCTGTGCGGCATTGTGGCCCTTTACTGAGAAACTGCAGTGAGGACTTCCTGCCTCCAGCGGGAACATATGCGTCTGTCCACGCACTCTTCTAAATTAATTGCCACTTTCTGTGACGCCTTGTTTTAACCATTTTATTTTACTTTGTACCCCCCTCGCCGCGCAGGTCCCTTCCTCCATGTGGAAGCATGCTCCCCCCGGGGCCATCATCGCGTTGTTTTGTTTGGTTGGTTTTTTATTTCCCCCCGTGTTGTGGTCCTCCGACAGCGGCGGGATCTACTCAGTGTTCTTGTTTTTGTTTGTTTGTTTGATCAGAGGCGCGCTCGGCTTTGTGTGCCACGCCGATGGCGCCGGCTAATAAAGGAGACAATGGAATGGGGTGCACGAAACCACGCCGAGTGTCCCAGTGGAATATCAATAATGTGTGGGCACCGGGGGTTTAAACGACTGGAAGGAGTGTGACGTATTTCTTCATTATCTGCAGGCGGGACATGCGCACCGATTTGGATGTCACGCAGCAGCGTGCAGTTTTTTTTTTTTTTTTTTGAGTGAATGCGTAATGGAAGACGGATTTATCCTTTCTTACTTTCCAGCATATTTCCCGCGACTCGCCACGGCGTGGGCAGCCGTGCGGTGTTGCGTTTCAACATTCATCCCGTTTGTTTTTTTCTGGCGCTCTGCTGTGGTTGTATTTGTCCTCAGGTGCTTTTTTTATTTTTTTGTGGCCGTAGGCAGACACACGAGACAGTTACACGATATAGTTATTGCAGTGTAGTTGGTTGCTCCTCTTGTACTCTGTGCTGGCGGTTGCGTGTGGGTGCTTCTCCCTCGTTGTGTTTTTTGGGGAGGAGGCAAGCGACGGCGTCGGTGGAATGGCGCCCCAGTGGGAGAGGGAAGACGCTGACCGCCGCTGACGGTGACGGTCTTTGCTGCGGGTGACCTGACGGGATGACGTCACCGGTGCCACATCCAACCGAGATGGATGTGGGCCGCACCTTTGCTTTTTCCCTTCTCTCCATCCTTTCAGTCTCCTGCAGATTGACGAACTGCGGGACAGTGGCGTGATTAAAAACAGGACGTCTATGAGTCAACAGGCCGCACAATCGGTGTGGACCCTTGTCCCCCGCGTCTGAGTGCCGTCACCGAACTTCTTCATCCTTCCTTTTTGTGTGTGCCTTTTGCGCGTGTGGTGCCGATCTTTGTTTTGCAATGCCAACCCACGTAAGGGAGGAAAGACACCTTTTATGCTGGCGAACGGCGAATTCTCCACTCCTCTTTCGTGTCACCATTTCTTCCTTTGACGCGCTTGATGGTCGCCGGTTCCAACGCTGCCACGTGGTACTGTCTCGGCCCTTGTTTGTTTTTCGCGGCATCGGGACTGCTCTGTGGTGGAGCCTTTTGCCTGCAAGAGCGGTGCTAATAGCCATCTGCCTTTTTTGCTGGGATGGCGCCACTCTGTATGGTTGTGTGGGGCTGCATGGGCGGTGGGAGGGCGATGGTGTTAACGGCGTGGTGGTGTCTGCGCGTCTTTGTCGGTGGTTTTGCTTTGGCGGGGACTGTCTGTGGCCGGATGCCTCCGCGTACCACTGTGTTTATTTGCTGTTGTTTCCGCCTTTTTATTCCTTTCCTGAAAAAACAGTTAGAGATACTTTGGCTTGACCAGCACAACTATCGTTTCAAGGTGTTAGGAATTACTTGCGGTATTAGGATTGGTAGTAGTGGGATAGCGATTTATCGGAATTGTGTCTCTGGATTTCCCATCTGTGGGAAGGGATTTATTAGACAGGAGTTACGGTCGACGGGGCGAGTGTGACACACCACGACAGCCCTGTTGATACCTGGTTGGGTCGGTGGATGCGGTCTGCGGTGGGCGCGTGTCCGCGCAGCCGGCACCGTGTGCGGTGCATGGTCATTGCGGCTGGGCGTGTGGCGCTTCTTTTTGTGTTGGCGCTGGCTGCTGCTGCTGCGTGGATGCCTGCGGCGCATGCGGTGGTGTTGCGACTGCGGGGCGGCACGGTGGACAGAGCCATCACGGTGGGCCGCGCCGTGGACACGGTGCTGATGGACGGCGTGTACATCACGAACGGCGTGGCTGTTGTGTTTGACGTGCCGGCGATGCTTCCCGGCGCGCTGCGCATCGAGTTGAGGGATTGTGTGTGCGACGGCGGTGCGCAGATCCACGTGCGGGGCTACAGCGGCGAGCCGGCGCGTGACCGGAGCCTGGAGGTGAGCGTGAGCGGGCTGTCCGGCGGCTACTGCTCGCTCGTGTTTGTGCACAACCTGCCGGCACACACGAACGTGACGGTCCGTGACTCGACGATTGTGACGCCGGGACCGATGCGCTACTCGCAGCTGAGCGGGCTGATGGACGCGGTGGCGTCGCCGCTTGTGCTGTACGCGACATCGCTGTTGCATTTGCAGCTGCGTGTGAGCAACACTGTGCTGAGGTCGTTGCAGGCGGGCGGGTCGGCGGTGTACGTTGGCGGCGGCGTGGACCTGCTGTCGAGCGCGGTGGTGTTTGACGGCGTGTTGCTGGAGGCGTTGGGCGGTCCGACCGCGTCCGCGATGCGTGTGGCGTCTTCGTCGCGTCTCAGTCTGCGGAGCCACTCGGTGTTCTCCGTGACGAACGTGTCGGTTGTGAGCAGCGGTGGCGGCCTTGTGCTTGGCGAGCGCCTCGCGGTGTCCGACTCGGTGCTGCGCTTCGTGGGCGTCGAGGGGTCTGCTGCGTCGTCGCTGGTGCGCTGCGACGGTGGGACGATCGGTGGCGGCGGGTGGCTGGACCTGCACGACGTGTGGGCGGTGGGCGAGGCGTCGTCTGTGGCGTCGCTGTCGGGTGTGACGCTGGACGGTGGCGCCGTGTCGATTGCGCGCTGCGCTGCCACCGGCTCGACGCTTGTTTCCGGGCTGGCGATCACGAGCGGCGCCGTGTCGGTGCAGTGCAACCGTGCCGGTGGCCGGGTGCTGCGGAGCAGCGGCGACTACCGCTTGGCCGGTCTGCCCTCCGTGAGCGTGGTGCCGTGCGACGGCTGTGCGGCTGCGCTGGCGTGCTTCGATGCGCTGACGGCGTCGTTCTCTGACTGCGTGTGCAGCTGCCGTGCCGGCGGCGTGGGCGACGCGTGCCTGCCGTTCGACGTGCCGGTTGCGAGGTCCGGCGGCGGTGGTGGTGCGCAGGACTGCGTGAGTGGCGTGACGCTGACGGAGTCGGTGACGGTTGGCGGTGGGCGTGCGACGGCGTGCTTCGACTCGGTGGTGTTCAGCGGGCCGATCACTGTGGCGGTGGATCTGCGTTTGATGGGCGCGTTTGCTGACGCGCTGAACGTGACGCTGCGCCACTGCGTGCTTGCGGGCGGCGCGCAGCTGCGGATTGGCGGCCTCAGCGAGAGCACGGCGCGCCTGATGCCCCACGCCCTCGTCAACATGACGAATGTGACGTCGCTGGAGGGCACGATTGTGCTGAATGGCGCGATGCCGCCGAACTCGAGTGTGCTGCTGGCGAACTCGACGCTGCGCGCGACGGTTGGCGGGTCGCAGTACGTGCCGACGACTCCTGGCCATGCGGGATATCGGTGTGGCCCCGCGCTTGTCCTGGACGGCGTCCGGCTTCTGTCGACGCGGTTTGTCATGACGCGGTCGACGCTGGTGTGTGGCGGGGGCTCGTGCGCTGCGATCCTCGTGGAGCGCGGTCTCGACGTGAACCTTTCCAGCGTTTTCTACATGGACAACTGCGCTGTCAATTCGCAGACGCACGTGATGTACGCCCTTGCATTGGGCCTGCGTGTCAGCGGTGGCTCTGTGTTCTCCATACAGAACAGCTCGTGGAGTGCGCCGAGCATTAACATCTACGAAGGTGCGTGTGTGTTTGAGGACGTTGCGGTGGCTGGCGGCAGCGTGCTGCAGATTGTGTCCAGCACTTTCCGTCTCGGCTTCGCCATGCTCATTGCAAACACGCTGACTGTGACTGGTGGCAGTTGGCTAGTGCACCGCGACAACGAGTTCCGCACCGCCTACGTTGTGTACGTGGCCGACGAAAA